AAATAAATAATTAATAATAATAATAATAATAATAATAATAATAATAATACAATTTGGCAATAGAAAACAAATGGTAAGGCTGTAAGATGGATTCAATATATTTCAAACATTTTCGTTATTCTACTAGTCTGATATAGAAACAAAGACACTCATTTTCAGAACAGATGACAAAATCCTTAACTAGACTTTTCCTGCTCTTAACCTCATCTTACAGAAGAAAGAAAGTAACAGTCTAATTATATGGCCCTTTAGAATTTCTTGCAACTACATTCATCCTGATTAATTAATCCACTATGAATAAAGTTAGACATTTCAACAAAGTTTCCAATTGTAATTTGGTTTAACTATCGAGAAATTTATCTTGAAAGTATTACTGAGAGAGAGAAAAACACTCAGAATAGTAATTTAAAAGCTAAAGACAAGCAGTATACTCACATATATTATAACTTGATAATTAATACCTTTTTGCTGCTGGTGATACAATTTCTTTCCTAGTTCCTGATGGAGAAGGTAGAGGACCACTGGATTTCTTTGGTAAGACAGTTCCATTATTGACAGTAGTCTTTAAAGGTAGTGTTTGAACTAGTGGTCTTGCTGTGAAATGAAGAAAAAATAAATTGAGGACTGAAAATTACAAGCTCAGAAGTGCACACAATACCTGAAGTAAGATCTGACCAGTGCAGAATAAAGTGGAATGATTGCTCCCCATTATTTGGAAGCTTCTCTTGTAGCAATTTGAGATTCATAATCAGTTTGTAATCTATTACTACTGAAGATCTTTTCTATGAGAACTGAATCTGCCATCCTATACCTGTGCATTTATTTCCTTTTTCCTAAGTAAAACACTGCAGTTTTAAGATGTTGTTTTGTTATTTTCAGACCATTCCTCTGACTTACCGAGATCACTCTGATTTTTTGTATCCTCCAAGATATTAGCTATTCCACCCAATTGTGTCAGCTGATAACTTCTCCATCCATGTTATTAATAAAAATGCTGTAGTATATAGCCCAAGACTGAACCCTTAGTAATTCCTCTCAATATTCTACATTATTTTGATATGGAATGACAGAGCATTCTTTGAGAATGATTTACAAGCCAGCAAAGTTGTCCACTTAACTGTCATGCCTTCAGTCCAATTCTGACTAGGCTGCTAATCAAAATTTCTTTTGTTAAATGCATAGCTGGCATCAATACTTATAACTATAACATTTCCACAATATATTAAGAAATTAACCAAACAAAAATATGAAAATTAGACTGACAAGACATGCTCTTCAAATATCCATGCTGAATTTATTATTAGCTCTAAAGCTTCCTAATTATGAATGTCAGACAGATTGACTTGTTGTTCCCTGAGTCCTGCTGTTCCCCTTCTGGAAGATAGGGACAACATTTACTCATGTCCCATCATATGGAACTTCACCCATTTGCCGGATCTTCAGTAAATTCCTTCAGCGCCTTGAGCAAATTCCTTCTGGCCCTGAAAACTGGAATTTATACAGGGTAGTAGATAAAGAAATTACACAACTGATGTTTTGTCATTTGCTATAAACTTCAGCTATGTGACTGTGGGCAAAGCCACAAAAACAGGTTAATTGGTCAAACTGCCAATTCTTGATGTGGAAGAATAAAGAGATTTTGAGAAACAAATAATCTTCCTAAGCCTAGAAAATAGCATTTAGAAGAGTACCACATATTTATAAAATATAATTCCATAAACAATAACATGTTTAGATGTTAGATGTTATAATAACATGTTTAGATGCCGGATATACAAGATCATGAAGAAGGTCAGCTGTTGTTTTTGAAATCGTTCTTCCTGTGCCATCATATAAAAATATTTAGAATAAAATATTGCAAAAACACAGTTGACCTCAAATATTTCTGGAATAATTTGGTATACTTTAACAAATTCTTCATATTCATTAACATAACTGAACTGAAAGAGAAAATATTCAGATATTTTCAACTATTCAAACACTAGCTATTGTTCATAAAACATATAAATATGCACAGAATGAAATCTAGTCAGATTTAACAGAAAAGTAAGACCTGATCAATTTAAAAAATACTTATCACAGTACACTTCTTAGAAGACTTTTCTCATCAAATATACTTCAGATTCAATATTCAGGTCAGACTGTAAAACTGATCACTGTGTATCTCAGAAAAAAATTAGGCAAGATATATTCTCAGATAATTCTATTTATCTCATCTTAACTAGTTAAAAATATCATTTTCATTGTAATATGAACAGGTGAATTTGAATGGGAGGTTAATACCTTTGGTAGGTCCTTTCTTGCTTTGCATGGCCTGTTGCTCCTCAGTAATATTCAGGCGTCTAACAACATCTGCCAGAGCGGACTTGAGCAACTGAATGTCATCTTCCTGCATCTGAACACGTTGTTCAAGTGAAGCAATGCGGTCTGTCACCTCCATGCTGCTGGCAGCAGAAGCACTGTCATCTAAAAATACATATGTATTTTGAAAGGCTGGGTTTAATATTGGAAATATTTGGAGGTATATTTTAAAAGAACTATCACCCAAATGTTTGTATTCGGTATATGCATTATTAGATGGAAAGCCAAACTAAAACCAGATTTGTATTCTACCCTTTCCTCTAAAATTCGGGCACCTAACACCAAACAAATATTATAAAACACTGAATTAAAAACGTAACAATGCAAACATAACTCAAACAAAGTTTAAAACAACAAATATCCCAAATCCCAAATGCTTACCGGAAAGCCAGGTTTTCATTGCTTTCCTAAATGTTAACCATGTGGTGGCCACCTGGATCTCAGGGATAGATTTTTCCAGAGGGACAGGGCTATCACCAAGGAAGCCTGGTTCCAGGCTTTTGTCCCCTAACCTCCCAAGAAGCAAGGACCCTTCTGGGCTGATTGAATACGATTAGCAAATTCTATTTGAAAGAGATGGTTCTTCAGGTTTCCTGGACATAAACCAGGTTTACAGACCAATTCCATTAGTCTTATATTTCTTATTATAGAACTTTATAAAAAGACAAACCAAAATGAGATTACAATCAAGTAATCAATTCATGAAGGCATGTTTCTTTTGATAAAATCACAATTCTTCCAGAATTATTTGACACAAACCTGAATTCAGAAGACCTATCACTATAAGATTTTCACACATGTAGTCAGAATAGCTGCATATAATTCAATGACACATTGCAATCCCATACTTCATTACATTTAGTGGGACTTACTATTGAGTAGATATGGATACTTGTTGTTCAGTCATTAAGTCGTGTCCGACTCTTCGTGACCCCATGAACCATATTGCACCA